GAACTCGGATCGCAGGATTCAGAGTCCTGAGTGCTAACCATTACACCATGGAACCGCTGCGCGAAGTTTGCCAATTATCGGTTTTGTGTCAGTGGGGTATATTCAGTTTTGATCAGTTTCTATAAATAAAACCTTTGGACAATCTTTATTTATTTATACATTTATGTCTATTTTTCCTTTCATTTGCTCTGTTTTGAAAGTTCTGTGATTGATTTGCCGAGTTTAATATTGAACATTTTATTCATAGTCAAAACGATCAGCTGGCTTAAATTATCTTTTACTTTCAATAGATCCTCGCATTTTGCATATATGTAATTTAAAGAAAGAACATTGTATTTCTAACGTATAATATTCGTTATAGTGGATTTTTCTTTATGTTACTGCAGACAATTAATATTTTTGACATATCGCCAACAAATTTTGTTTTGGGTACTCAAGGTTATGAATGTGAATAAACAGTTTACAAAATATTTAAGAGGCTTAGTGAGATGTTAGAGCACTGCTTAGAACGATCAAAAATGAAGTAAATCATGGAATTATGAATTCTTAAAAGGAGTTTTGTTAAGTGTTAAATTAATACATATTACATTACTGGCGGTCTGTAAAAAATACTTGTAAATAAAACCAGCCTTTAATGTACTGGTAATAGTCATACATATTGTTACTATTTAATAAGTGTGTGAAATAGAAAACAACCTGCTGGAATACGGTCAGACAAGCTTTTCACTCCGAATCACAGCTAGGTTGCTCGGCAGCTGAACAGCTCGGCTTTTCGTCCGCTCGGCTCATTCACAAAACGAAGTTTTCTATGTCAGAGCAACAAAAGTAAACCGATGCCAACAACAATAACATGCCCAAAGGCAATACGGAATTCGGAGAAAGTGGCCAGTCGTGTTTTCGGTATAAAATCAATCGTAAATGTCCTTAAACGCACAGTTTTCGTTATACGTCGGAGCCCACTGGTTGGTTTGTTGCGCATCAAAACGCCGCGAATCGTGCATTTCTCTTTTACTAGTCAAAAAAGAAAAGCAAATAGTTTACAAAAATAATACAAAGGATTAATACCGTTATCCTCGCAAATACATCATACAAAATATAAAATAAAATATAAAGAAAAAAAATGAAAGCTGAGAGTGCGGCACATTGACAGTCTCGCATAACTGCTTTATGCTGAATTCATGTCATGAATTGTGTGAAAACTAATGTAATCCTGCCCTAACCTAATTCGCGTTGCACGTGGGTTGTGGGTAGTGGATTGAGTGGGGTCGCCCCTCGAACCACTAAGAACTCGCGACCAATCGAATTGCCCGCCAAGTTTCTGAGTTTTGGTTTTTGTTATTATGCTTTACTTTTCTGTATTGTTCTTTCATCCAGTTTTCTCTTAGCAAATTTAAAATTTCTGAATGTTTAATACAATATGTAATTCTTGCTTTTTTTAGTAATACATTCTTATTTTTACTATTTTTATTTAGATTTTATTCAAGCAAGTTTAAAAATATATATTATTATATATTTGTGTACCATGGACGCCATCACTCGAATACGGCTTCGTTTCTATATAACATATAAAATACACATATGTATGTATGTTTTCTATATACATTAAGGAGACTATCAAATAAATGTCAAAAGTAATTTTGAACTCAAACTAGAAAATAGTAATGAAAGCTAAATTTAATAATACACTGAACTCAGGTTCCACCGAGATTTGAACTCGGATCGCAGGATTCAGAGTCCTGAGTGCTAACCATTACACCATGGAATCCAACTGATCGGCGATCGCCGAGAAACAGAACTTAAATTCCATGTACATATATCACCTATCTTATTCAATGTTTCTCAGTGACTCAAATGTAAATAGTTTCGACCACTTGCTCAATCCGATATTTCTGAAATATTTTTACGACTAGACAGACGTCGTATTATACAAAGCATTATATCAGCATTGGACTAACTTACTAGTGAGACTGAATTAATTCGGGTACTGTTGTTGTTGTTGGGAAAATAATTGTTTGGTAAACATTGACCAACGGCCGACAGAGGCGGTAGGAGGAATTTGCATTAGGTGCTCGTTATAGCAATTTGATGTTACTTTCTAGGAGAACAGGAAAGGGGAGGAAATTGAAAGGAAATTGCGCTTGTTTTTCCAAGTAAGAGACATTGAAGTGCGCCACTTGGGATGTAGACTAAATGCGGGGTGAGGGCTAAACAAATTAAAAGGATTTGCGAGCACCACCGTCAAACCGTTAAAAAGGACTCGAGTGGCAATGAAAAGCAACAAGAACACACATAGCAGGACTCTAAAAGACATGTGCACATAACATAACAAGAGACCCTTTATTGCGTCGTTCTCTTCGTTCTCTTCATTCCCTTCTCCCCTTCTCTCGTACTCTCATTCCTTCGTGACTTGCTCTCAACCCTAAGATGTGCTCGTAACAATGGAGCTGCAACTGTTTTTGTTATGTAGGCCAAGCTGCCAGCCGCCAGA